TACTCAATTTAAATTTATTTTTTGGAACTTTTCTGTATGGCTGTGTTGGAGCTACCATTTTAACTGACGAATGATAGAATATAAAAAGAATAGCTGTTTCCATGTCTTTTGGTGCTCTTGTTGGAAACAGATAAGTATATGAAGAATTCTGCGAGAATAAATACTAAAGTGTTCTGACAGGAGTATCAATACTATGACGAGTGCGTTTATAAGAAGGTGCGGTTCTCGCACCATAATATTTGAACATCAAATTTCGAAGTATATATCCTGTTTAAGAAGACAAGATATAAAATGCTGGAATTTATTGAAATTGCATGTGATGTTGAAGCATATAAGTCGAATAAACTAAAATACAACCTAGTTCTTATTCTGATAAACTTTCTATATTTATTCAGTTACGTGTAAGATTAGGTAAAAATATATTTATCAAGGAAAGATTGAAATAATACAATCATACAAAAGTATATGTTGACAAAAGATTATTCGTAAAATTAAAGACCAAAGAGATAGAGGTTATGAAAATTATTCTAGTGCTTATTAACAAGCAATAAATACTCTAAGGACTAGAGAACAAACTCGAAAAAAAATATTCATCTAATGAAACACAAAGGTATGCTTACTTTCGAAGAATGTTTACATAGTTTACATTTAAGTTCACCAGTGGATATGATGATGAAGTATTTCAAAACATCTTGTTTTGATTTGATGGTTGATTGTTTTTTGTTTTTGTTCTGGTTGATCTGGCTCAACGTCAATGGTTTGACTACTATCAAATGAATCATTATGATTGTTTGAACTTTCTTCATTCTTAATATTAATTGGGCTTGTTACTGGTAAGTTTGAATCAGGTTGACTTGCTGATGTAAGTTTCATCATCTGAACTGATCAAATTCTGTAAATTTATTTCATATCGTTTTGTTTTTGGTGTTGAATGTAAAACAGTTTTTTTTTCTCCTGTTACCAATGATGAACGTTTTATTTTAAATCACTTTTTTGACGAATTACTGGAGATTTTATCTTAATTGTGGTATTTTTCACGGTTGCTGATCTAAATTTCTTGTTTATATTAATTGATGATGGAGTAATTGATGAATTTGAATTGCATGCTTTGCCGCTCGACCGAACAGTGGGATGAGAAGATGAACGTCGTGTTGATTCAGATGGTAGTTCATCATCCATTTCCATCAACAGAAATTGTTCAAAAATTATTTTAACAATTAATCAGTTTTTAAATATTTATTGAATTCATTAATCGATTGTTCTTCTTTTTCGTAAAAAGTTGTTAATGATATTTACGACCAATAGCAACGATTTTCCTTTTCCTTTTCCTTCTCTATATGTAGAACACGATTCGTTAAATATAGTATTCTTTTTTTTATTTTCGATTTTCACTGTGAGTGAAACAACAACGCTGAAAAAATATTCTGAAAGGGATGATTGCACATGAAGTTTAACAAAAGGAAACTAAAAAGTGTTTACATTTCAGATATTTAAACATTAAAAAAATTCATTTCGTAGACTAATACAACTATTATACGATGAAAATGCTTGAAGGAACGGTTCACGAATTATGATTTTTTTTCTTAGCTATATTAAGAGTTACCATACATAATCGGAGTCACTGTGCATTGTTGATATTACTGCCAGTATTCATAAATTCAGAATGAGCCTTTTCAGAGGATTCAATATGCATTTTTCTAAACAACAGATTAAAAATGAGTAACACACGAATGAAAAGAAAAATAATTATCTTAGCAATGTTACCAAGACTCAGCATCGATAGCTATCAAATACAAAATATAGCTGTTCTGTATTGAAATTTGTTTATGCTGAGCTCGAGAGAAAAATTTAAGCGCATAGTACCTTTTATTTCTTAGGATTTCACAAGCTGTCTTACTAGTGGTTCACATTTTTATGAAGATACGTAATGATATAAAATTCAGTGGCTAAAGAAAAACTATCTATTTCAAATTAAAATGTGGTTTTGCTTTTGAAACGAAACTAATATTAGTCTAATACATTAAAGTTGGGTCATGATAATTATTAAGCATAATAAGAAGACGCGCTTCTGAAACTCTAGAAGATGAATACTACAAATTGTAATCTATAATTAGAATATGTAGGTTGACATGAGAATAGCGATAATCGTTTGTCTTTACTATTACTTTATAAAATAAGGATGGATGAATCATTTATCTTTAGAATATAAGTAAAGACAAAAAATTGTCCTTTTTCAAGCAATTATCATGTTAGGAATGTTCAGAACCACAGAACTCATTTTGAGAAAGATTTTTTTCACTAAATACACTCTATTTATATTTCAAAGAAGCTAGTTGAGATGTAACATGAATTATTGTTCTTTGTATAGTATTTCGCAGACTTAAAGCACAAATATGAAATTTAAATCGAAATTAATATCGTATAGTGAATCTGCAGAAAAAATGTATGATAAATTAATTTTTTATTTAGTTATGTTCACACACACATGAATAGCTTGTGAGAATCATAAGTTCATCACCAAAAGGCACAGAAAGACAACGAGAGTGAAGAGAAGCTCCAGGACAAATATATAGATGATCAGATTTAAAGAGAGAAGGTTCTACACGCTTAACAACAATATATACATTATCTACAAAGTCTTTAATAGCAGTTACATATTTGTATGATGAAAAACAAGAAGTTACAGAATAGTTAATACAAGTTAACTTTTGACCTACAGCTGAACAATATGTAATGGAAGTTAGCACCTGATTCGAGTTTTTTTCAGATCGATTCGTCTACTCAACTGTACCATGTCTAATTTGTCGTGTGCCACAGAGAGCTCGACAAACTCTATCATATCGTAAATTTCGAATTCTAGCCAAGATCAAAAACAACGAGAGACAAATCAAACTATAATTTTGTACCACAGGAAAAAATAATAAAATCCAAAATTTCCTGTAACAATTCGAGTCAGAACCCGTGCCACTTTCCAAATCTACATCATTCGATGCATCTCGACGCCCTGCATCCGATGATGTTAATAAAACTCTAATAATACCAACTCGTAAGACCCGCTAGCTCCGTAACCGCCTGCTGGAGGTGTCCTAGACATCTACAGGGTCCTGCAACTGTAAAAACAGAGGAAGGAGGCACCCCCTTCCCCACCCACCCATCCACCCAAGCAGACAAACTTTTGAGAAAACGCGTATACACACCGTAAAATTGACTTTCTCAAGCGTTTACATGCGTCAGAAAAAAGATGGACTTGTAAACACTCAGAATTCTTAAATTCCACCAGTGCAAACGTACATTTTTTTTTCTGTTCAATATGTACAGACGTTTAAGCAGCTTGAAAGCTGGCTTTACAAGCGTGTAAATGTTCATTGTCTCGTAAAATTCATTTTACGCATCAAAAAGTTGATTTTTTTTGCGCATTTTCTACAATACTGATATGATTCGAGTTTCTGCGATAATTACTGATCATGTTCACGCTTCAAAGTTAGGCAAATTGGACGTTATTCTCGCCACATATCTGTTAGATTAACCATTCCAAAAATTTAAGTGTTTAAACCATGGGCGCCTCAATATTTCAACAAAGTGAAGCAGCAAATATTTCGGACATCTTTTTTACAGTAGATTGCAACCATTTAGACGGCTAGTTTCGTCGAGTTCGAGGAGTTTTGAGATATACATTTTTTCAAACTTCCATAGCTTAAAATTCTAAACGTTTAAACGACTGATATGAATAACTTCTAGGAGTTTTGATAAGCTATTTTTTTAATATCTACATGTTTCAAATTTCTGAACGTTTAAACTGCACATATCGTCAACTTCTAGGACTTTCGATGCATGAATTTCTTTATATATGCATGGTTCAAAATTCTAAACATTTAAACGACTCATGTCATGAAATTCATGGAGTTAACATGTATGAAGTTTTTCATATCTACATGGCTGATTATTCTTGACTTTTGAATGGTTGATTTCATCGATTTTCAAGTATTTCGAGATCTATGACTTTTTATTTGTAATTTTATGAAAGTTTCGATTGTTTCAGCCACATGTTACAGCGAATGGTATGCGTATGTTCGAATGAACTTCTTAGAATTTTTTTAACTTTTATCGTTTTAACGGCGATTTTCGTCTGTGTTGCAGACATTGTGGTCGGTATTCTATGTTGTGTGGAGCGTTTGCAGCAAGGAGGAAAAAGCGGCTCCTGGCTCTTTGGCTCCTGGTGGCTCCCAGCGGCTCCTACGACTCTTGATGGCTTCTAGTGGATCTTGCTGGTTGCTTCCAAATATGAGTATATAAGTATCATTTCAGAATCTGTCGCGCTTGATTCCTTTAATCGAATGTTAAGATTGATCTAATTTATCAATGTTGCCTTCGAAGGGTTTCTGATATTGTTTATTCTCATTATATTCGTTTACAGAAGATAAAGTCTCATAAGTACTGATATTTTGCAGGAGGCTATTAAGAAGCTAAATTATTGTCAAATTGAAAATAAAAAATACGACTTGAAAATCATTTTACGTATTCCAAAATTTTTATTTTTAAAGGAGTGGGTGTGGGTGTGGGTGGGTGTGCTTGCGATCTTCACTTCCATGACCACACCCACACCCACACCCTCATATAATTTGATCATTGTTATTGGTGAAAGAGAATAAATTCTAAATGTTCATTCTAAAATCAAATAAATTTTATTTTATTTTTTCGCTCTTTAATATAAACGAATAATGGAACTTCGATAATCAAACGTCAGTATGAGAAAAGATTAAAACAGAAGAAACGAAGAACAAGTGAGGTTGTAGTTAGTAGGATCAAAATAAGTAACTAATAAATATATACTTCCTACTGAAAATGTAGAACAATGACATCTATCGGTACTTTTTGACGATCTTCGTCGGGTCCCGAGAAAACTCTTTACTCGCCCAAACCCGTGCACATCAATCCTCGCCCGACCGAAACCTCACTCTTTTTTTGTTTTTTCTCACCCGCCTCGGATCGCCCGTCTGTCGAACGATACC